TGCCCCCTGCGTGCGGTCCCCGCGGCTCCCGCACGGGGGCGCCCTCGCTCGGTCTCCGCGGTGGCCGCGCGCGGACCTCCGGGCTGCGGGTCCCGGTCCCTCCTGGTGACACCGTCAACAAACAAGCCCAGGCGGAGAAACCGCGGCTGGGTGCTTGCCCTTCCCCAGCAGCTGGACCTCAGGGCTTATCCTGGGATTTTTCCAGTCCCCCGGCCAAGCCCCCGCGGCGCCGGGGTCACAGGAGGCGGCGGGGCCACCTGCCCCCGGGACGTCGGGAGCTGCTGGAGCCACCGAGAGGCACCAAACGGGCAGGGAGGGCTGGGTGTGCTTGTGTGTCACGGGGGGACGAGGCGAGGGGCCCACGGGCCGTTCGGCACACGCAGGGAGCAGCAGAACCTCAAGCGCAGCCCCCGCCGACCTGACGGGGTTTTAGCTGCCTGTGCCCGCGGTGCGGGTGGCTCCGTTCGAGTCAGGCTGCTGAGAAGAGGGAGCTGGAAGGCATCTCAGCCAGGGTTTCCCTCGCTTTCTCTCGTGAGTTGCATTTAAACTGGAGCTCCTGCCTTTGCTTCCTACCCGAGCTGTGCCCAGCCACGGAGCCCAGAGATCCGGATGATCCTGATCCGTGCCCATGGATGTGCCTGAGGACCACTGGGCCATTTCTGAAGCTGGTTATCATCACCAGACCTGCTCTGCCTTCCTTGTTTATGTGTTGTGGGACTGAGCCCCCACCAGTGACGCTGCTGCCTGGGCTATCCAGCTGCCCTCCTTGGCTCCAGGACCTCCTGCTGCTGCTCTGCAGGGGAAAAAAAGTAGCCACGACAAGTGCCAGTCACTTTTATTTTGCTGGGGCAGCCACGTGGGCTCTTCCAGGACCTACCTGCAGCTTTTCAATCATAGGAGAGCTTTTCACCTTGACCTTGGGCACGGGGCAAGTGTTCGGAGACCTCTTCTGCAGAACAAAATGGAACGTGAAAAAGTCGTAGTAAAGGAGGTGAAAAAGAGGAAACACAGTGAAGGCAGAAAACTTGGAAGAAGTAGGCAGAAGGTTCTAGTAGGGAGAAAATGAAGCCTCATATAGTGTCTTCCAAAAAAAGTTTGCTTTCTCCCTTTCCTGACCCTGCTCTCTCCTTTTGTCATGTAGCCATCTTAGGACTCAACCTTACATGTCTCCTTCCTCTGGGATAAAAGCTGGCTGCCTGCTTTCTGCCTCAAGTATCAGAGCTACGGGATGTGTAATGGCTCTGCTGCTACATGGCACTAAGGCATCTAACCTATGACACATTTCCCCTGGTATCATTTCAGGACCAGACAGATTACAAGCCACCTCTTAAAGGGTACAAGCTTTAATGTTGGTAAACACTGTGAATGTTTTGTGATAGGGAAGACTTCCTGCCACCACTTGACTAACAGAGGACATGTAATTAGTATGGGCAGGAAAGGCATAAGTGGCTAGAAAGGCAGAGCCATGGAAGGGTGACAAGGCAGAGCATTGCTTTGAGAAGAGGCATATGGGTTTTTTTCCTGTTCAAAGGAAAAAGATGGACTCTTTAAGGCTTGTGCCCATGCCACAGAAGTAGGAAACAGCATGCAGCTCACTCTGAGTCAGTGTATGTGTGAGCAGGGGAAGATCTGATGCTGCAGGATAGATGTCTTTTGCTGCACAGCCTGACCTCTGCAACCTCCAATCTCATGTCTCAGGAGAGAATAGGTTGCAGAGAGAAAAGACCTTGTCCCTCTGTTAAATTGATACTCACTTGCTCATCATTGTCACTTGTCTCAGTTTTGTGGGAATACAATGGAAGGGAACATGGTGGTTTCCTCCTAGTTGGCTTATGTGGTGGCACCTAAGAGAAGAAAACAACCAACTCAGCAGCAGGGAAATCAGTTTTTATAAAACGAAGTGAAATTCAAGCACCAAGGGCATGCTCTGAAAGTGACCTGCTTGGATGCCAGGGCTCAGCTTGCCTAAAGGAAACATCCAGAGGCAACACAAGTATTAGCCTGCGGGCACGTAGTCAGCATGCGAGGCGTGCTTGGAGCATCTCGAGCCCAATCCTAGTGCTTGAAAAGTAGTTCGTATCTCTCACAGCATGAACCACGAGACTTCAGGCTCTGTGCAAAGGACACTCTTCTAAGCTGCGGAGGGTGGAGAAGCCTTCCTAGAGTCTTCATCTTCAAAGTATCCTAATGGAAACCCCCTCACACTGGAGTAGCTTGTTATTGTTCCCTTTCCTGATTTTTCCTGATCCTGATTACCAGGATTTCCTTTTAATAACTCTCAGCTGCCTACCTGGTTTGTGATTTTCTTATTTTGCATCTGATACATTTTAGGGGCAAAAAGGGGAATTCTGACTTTTTCAACATGCTCTACAGCCCCATTCATTTCTCTCTTACAAGGAAGAGCAGCTCACAGAGACAAGCTGCAACTCTTAATTTGTCCAAGAAACATTCTCTAGGGGCAATTTAAGTGCAGGGACACTGGTTCCTTCAAAATGTCCATGGCCTCTCACAATCACATAGTGTTCACTAGGAGGTAAGAGGCACTTAGCACAGTACCTATGGAGTTCGTCCCTCAGAACTGTTGCTCTGGTCTTGATGACAAGCTGTCTCTGGTTTGCTAGGTTTCTAGTCTCCTGCCAAGCTGTTCACACACTTTTTGTGTCAACAGACAAAATACTTGGGTAGTATTGTGGACCTTGGATTATTTTTTATTATCTTGCATAATATCCACAATATAATGTTTGGATAATTTTGTTACCTCCTAACAGGCAGGCATCTGAAACCTTGGATTATGGTGTCCTTGCCTTCTGTAGAGTTGGCTGTCTTGAAGGACCTATAGACTTGATGTCACTTAACTTCTAGTGTTGCTGCACCCAGCCATGGTAATGCTGCACCCCTAAGCAGCCAAGGGCAGCCAGACCTTCTCCCTGCATCATGTTAGGAAGCAATCATTGCGTGTCTTATTGAAACCCCACTGTTTTGCAATCATGAAATGCTGTGCTGTGTCATGGTGAATGTATCAGAGGTTCCTTGGTTGATAGGTTCCCCTTTGCTGCAATGGGTCAAGCAAGTGTTAAAGGCAATCTGAAGCTAGCTTGAGAAAGCTGGTGGGGAAGTGACAGATGGCTTGGAGAAAAAAGACAGGAAACTTTGTCCTCCTGTGTCTCTGGAGAAAATTACTTTCCCTCTGTGAGGCCCCTCCACAGTGCCTTAGCTTGGGAGCAGCAGAGGTCTGCAGATAACACGAGAGAGGCCTGGGAACTCGATGCCTTTTTAAAGGGGGAGGGACTTAGTGCAATTAAATCCCACACCTTAAGAAAAGGAAATTACTGTAATGGGAGTGGTCATTGGTGACTAGAGGGGGGAAAAAAGTGCATGGGAAGAGATTGATTGTGCCCACCCTGGGGCCCAGCTAGGAGAGTGCAAACCTCTGATAGGCAGTGGCATGCTAGCCTGGCAGAACAGATGTCACTATTGCATCCAGCTAATGACTGGATGATAGGGAGGATCTCCTTAGGACCAGCCTGGGACATGCTCAAATCAGCTGAGCAGCAGAAGGAAGCAGTTGAGTTTTAAAGGGGCACCCACTGACTGAAGAGGGCCACCAGTAAACATTGATGCTTCTAAAAAAGTGCATAATGATACAGGGGGCTCTCCTAAAATGTCAGCCTTCATCCATCAACACTCTGACTTCCCTTTCTTCCTAAGAGAAGTACTCCTGCATTTTGCTTACCTGGTGAAAGACAGCTTGTGAGGCAAGTGGGCAGAGTGGGCTTTCAATAACATAAAATATAAGTGCCATATAGATAGACACAGAGTCTGAAGTGTCATTGGAAAGAGGTAATGAGGGCAAGTAAAGAGACAGCTTTATTTCTGTACAGAAGGCAATACCTGAAGAAAACATTCTCTTTTTGTGAGCAAGGTGCTGGTGACCTGCCACTGGCTTCTACACCACATAATCAGTTGTTTGCTTTCTTTTACCATGGCTCAGTATTAGCTAGTTCATTATTCATTGTTGGCCCTTGCCCACAAAATCCAGCCCCCACAGTAGATGCATTGGTGTCTGCTACTGCCAGGCACACAGTTTACAGTCTCTCAGTTACAGTGTCTAGTTGTCCTGATGTGGGGCTCTACCAAAATGCTTGTCCACAAGTCAGCACTGCATGGGAGATACTGCCATAGCTTTAATTGCACCAGGAGACAAATCCTTTGTGAGGATCCAAAATCAAGGTGGGTGCATGCTCACATCACAGATGCTCTAACTTCTTTGGGCAGAAGCGAGTGCCTCATTTCCCACTCAGTTTCCTGCTGGTGGCTGTGGATCTCCTTACCTCTTTTCCAGTGATATTGGCTGCTTGCTCTTTGAACTTCCCTGCTAGCTGAGCCACGGAGGGTGATGCTGACTTATCCACCTCTGAGTTGGTCTCCGCTGGCCTGTTCTGTCAAATTGGGAACAACAAGTTATGAGCAAAGGCTGGGAAAAGCAAGCAGGCTAGAAAGAAGCCTGTGTATGTGTTATAAAGTTCAAGAGTAAAAAGGGACTTAAAGCAGAGTTTTCACATCTGGCATCAATCATGTAGTCTGAGAACAAGAGGTTTGGGAAGATGGGACCTAGCTGCATTTTCAAATATCCCAGAAAACCAGTAACACACGCAGAGCATTTCAGCTGAAGAGCCTACACTCAGTATTTTTCACTGGAAGCAAGCTAAATATCTCAAGCCAAGTGTCTGTTCTCACCTCTTCCATGCAGTGAGCAGATGGATGTTCCCATATACCTTCTCAACCTTCCTTTCCTTTTTTTACTGCCCTGGTCACTGGTGCCCTTTCTTTTCCAGTGGTTCTGCAGTGAGATGCCGTTCCCTGTTCCCACAGCAAGCCAGCATCTGCTTGGGAAGATCCCTGTGCTGTTGTGCTTTTTTGGCAGTGAAATACTCAGGCAAGTGAGCAGGGAGGGAGGAAATACCAGGGCTGAGAGAAGCTTCCTCTCCCCTGGGCTGAAAACAGGCTGAGAAGAGGGAGGCTTACTGGGGACTGGATGGTGCTGCTCTTCCCACAGCACACAGCCCTGGTGTCATCCCACATTTAGTTTGTTTTCTTTGCTATGTGTGTACCAAGTGATATAAGTAGAAAGCTGATGAAAGGAAACCTTTGTTCTTCATCTCTAGTATAATTGCACCAGGAGACAAATCCTTTGTGAGGATCCAAAATCAAGGTGGGTGCATGCTCACATCACAGATGCTCTAACTTCTTTGGGCAGAAGCGAGTGCCTCATTTCCCACTCAGTTTCCTGCTGGTGGCTGTGGATCTCCTTACCTCTTTTCCAGTGATATTGGCTGCTTGCTCTTTGAACTTCCCTGCTAGCTGAGCCACGGAGGGTGATGCTGACTTATCCACCTCTGAGTTGGTCTCCGCTGGCCTGTTCTGTCAAATTGGGAACAACAAGTTATGAGCAAAGGCTGGGAAAAGCAAGCAGGCTAGAAAGAAGCCTGTGTATGTGTTATAAAGTTCAAGAGTAAAAAGGGACTTAAAGCAGAGTTTTCACATCTGGCATCAATCATGTAGTCTGAGAACAAGAGGTTTGGGAAGATGGGACCTAGCTGCATTTTCAAATATCCCAGAAAACCAGTAACACACGCAGAGCATTTCAGCTGAAGAGCCTACACTCAGTATTTTTCACTGGAAGCAAGCTAAGTATCTCAAGCCAAGTGTCTGTTCTCACCTCTTCCATGCAGTGAGCAGATGGATGTTCCCATATACCTTCTCAACCTTCCTTTCCTTTTTTTACTGCCCTGGTCACTGGTGCCCTTTCTTTTCCAGTGGTTCTGCAGTGAGATGCCGTTCCCTGTTCCCACAGCAAGCCAGCATCTGCTTGGGAAGATCCCTATGCTGTTGTGCTTTTTTGGCAGTGAAATACTCAGGCAAGTGAGCAGGGAGGGAGGAAATACCAGGGCTGAGAGAAGCTTCCTCTCCCCTGGGCTGAAAACAGGCTGAGAAGAGGGAGGCTTACTGGGGACTGGATGGTGCTGCTCTTCCCACAGCACACAGCCCTGGTGTCATCCCACATTTAGTTTGTTTTCTTTGCTATGTGTGTACCAAGTGATATAAGTAGAAAGCTGATGAAAGGAAACCTTTGTTCTTCATCTCTAGTATCTAATGCCAGGGAAAACTGAACCAGTGGAACTGAGAACAACTAACCAACAATCCTTGTTTTGTTAGAGGTGAAGACCTCAAAACAACAAACCAGGCTACAAACCATCAACCTGGAAGGAAGCTCATACCTCCACTCTCCATACCACCATGAACCCATGTCTGACCTCATGGTTCTCATCCCTCTCCCTCAATACTCTTCCATTGCTCAGTCAGAAACTTTCCCCAAAGGCTGTTGCTAGAAGAATACGTTTCTGTTTCTCCAAAGGCTCCAGCAGTGCCCTTCCTTCTCACTGTGTGCTGCTCTGCCTGGGAGGGACCTGCTGTCTCGTTAACTCAATCACTTCTTCAGCATTGCTGGAGGTGAAAGGCCCTGAAAATGCCAATCTGGTCCACATATGGACCACTTCCTTTGGGTCACCACACTATACGGGCTGGAGAAACAGCTGTGGAAACCTGAAATCATATTAAAGAGCAACTGCTTTAGGATCCTAGTTTCTAGACTAAAAGCAAGCAAGGAGTAACCTTACACTAAGGATCAGCCCAGCTTGGAACAATCTCTAGTCTGAAATACCTGGTACAGGGCAGCATGGCTAAGGCTCATTTGCACTGTGGAAAAGGGCCTTTCCCTTTCTCAGAGAGCTGTAGCTCCCAACAAATGCTATTTTACTTCTCGCAGGCCCACAAGCCCCAGTAGACATGTGGTTTCCAGGATCCTGACTACATCTTCCCCATTAAACTTCCCATACACTTCAGCTTTCCCACATCCAGCCACAAAAGCCTTATCAAGCTGCCTCCTCTCAGTGAACTTCTAGCATCTTCCCCCCATTTTTCAGCCTTCCTTGGAGCAATCACAGGCAGGGGAAGTGACAGATAAGGGGAACGGAAGAAACAGTGAGATAAGCAGATCAGCAGGGCAATCTGCTGCTTGTGAAAAATTATGGCTGGGCTAAGTGGGGAGGGAGAGCTGTTCCCAGCTGCAGGGTGGCTCCCTGCTGTGGAGGGAGGACAGGCTGGAAAGAGAAGGGAGCAAGGAATGAACCTGAGGAAAGCAGGGTGGATTGGGAGGCTGTCAGAAAAACTGGGCATGGCAGAACATACACCTGAACTGGGAACTCAGTTAAGGCTGAGCAGCTGCAGGTGCTCAGTGTCTATAGTGGAAGGGTTGCCTCCCTCATAGTCTCTTTTCCTCCAAGAGATCATTTCATAAACCTTTGCCTTCACTCAGAGAAGACACTGCACTTCCTCTTGGCCTCTCTGACCTCTTGTTTTGGGGTTGTCATGGTTTTGGGGTTTCTTTGTTTTTGTTTTTTAGTTACAGTCTGAAAACACAGCTCCCTTTCTCTGGGTCTGACCAAAGCTGTGCAGCTGCAATGATTCCACGCGGTCTTTATTTTACTGGTAGCAGGCATGGATCCCAATGTGGCTGTCGCCAGCCTGAAGCTCAGCAGCCAGGGTGCAGGAAGCAGTGAACATGCCATTCTAAGATTAGCAAAAGTAGCCCATGGGCTGTGTCCTCCTGAAACTGCCAGCTGCAGGCTCTCTGATTACACTATGTGTTTTGCAGCAGAGGTCTTTTCTAAGATCCTTTCTGGCAATTACGCTGCCATCCTGTATCCAGCTTTTTCTACAGGTTTTGGTTGTGTTGTTTTTTTTTTTCCCAGCTGGTGTGCCAGGCTCTGTTTCCTGGTCGAGGGAGTGTGCTGTACCAGGGCACTTGGGTGCAAACAGTTCCCTTCCTTGCACTGGAAGGAGAATTCCATCCCCCTGACTTCCAGGGACTGGAGTGGCACTCTCTCTCCCACTGGGAGGAAAGTGGGAAGCCTCATTTTCTCACCCTCACCCCAGGGCATGTGCCAGCCCTCAGCCTCTTCCACCACTGAGACACGTGTCTGCTCCTCTCACCCCAGAGCTCAGCACTAGCTCTCTCCTGTCCCCTGATACTAATGCAACCACCTTGGTGAGACAACCCACCACTTTTGTGAATGATAAGAAGGTGCAGCTCTGATCTTTGTTTGTCAGAATAAAAGGTGGAATTACTCAGATGCAAATCTTGTGCTCTTTGAAGCCAACTGCTGATTCTTTTCAGAAGAGAAGTCTGGTCAGCCTGCATGGGCTAAAACCAGTAAAAAACTTATTCCATCAGTAATTTGGTGACTGCTACTTTGAGGTCTTTTACTGTTCCATAAAAAGAAGTGTCTAAGCACTGTATATTATAAAAAATGTCAGACAGAGCAGCAAAACAGGAATTTAATTAGACCATCAACATAAGCATGGCACTGCTTGCAAAAGAGGAAGTGCAACTAGCAAGTTCCCCGTAAGGAGTTTCACTTTCCTCTTCTAAGTAGTTTTGTAAAATTGAGTGAATTTGAAAATGTTCTTCAGCTCCATGCTTCTTCATCTGCTTTTGAAACTGAACCTGGTCCCTTTGGCAGCACTAGAGAAGAAAGTTCTGCCTTTATTCATGGCAGTCACAATTCAAGCTTCTCACCAAAGCCTCTCTCGTGAGAGCAAAACTGCCCACTGATCCCTGACTCTGCAGGTTGCCTGAAGGGATGCCACTGTTTTTAGCAGACATCCCTGCTTCTCTCACAAGCTGTCTGGTGGAAACACTGCTTAGGTCCCCACAGAAATGTTCCAAGCCATCCCTGCCTGTATCCTTTCAAGGCTGATGGGAACCTCTCTGCCCTGAGAAGCCTGGGTGCTGTGGCACAGTCAGCTCTAGCTAGCACAGTCCAACTTCACTGGCAATTTAATGTGCCAGAAATGGTAGGGCTGATAAGGCCGCCTGATACAGGAGAAATAATGTCTCACAGAGGGGGACCCCTCAGTACAGCAATGTCATAACCTTGCTGAATGACATTTGCCAAGTCTTTTGCTAGAGCCTGTGGACCCACCATGGGCACCAGGTGAAAGAAGGTACATGTTAGAAGCCCACAGAAAACAGGTCAAGAGACTGAAGCATTTCTCTGTGCATCCTGTTTGGGTACTCACAAAGAGTTTTTCTTGAGATCATGATTTGAGCTACAGGTAGGGAGTGTCACTGCAGACAATGGGTTTCTTATTAAATCAAAATTGCGAAGACTCCTGGGGAAAAGTGGAAAGCCAGAGGTGACTTTGGGGATTAATTTGAATGTCCTGCTGGGAATGGAGCAAAACTGGCTCCAACAGCTCTCAGCTAGCAGTTTGGGTCGTGATCCTCCCACTTGCAGTTGGAAGGTAGCATGACTCCATCTCACAGGATTAGTATCTCACCAGTTTTGTCACTGTCCATAATATGCTACTGGAAATGCTAGTCTGAAAGGGTGCCAGTAGGGGTCAGAAGCAGATACTGAAGGAGAAGCTCCGGTTTGGATTTGTGCACCTGGTTTGGGTGATGAAAAGTTCAAAGGTCTATTCGCTGCCACACAGTGGAGTGTTTGGGCTTAAGCAGCACTTAAATACCAGCTGGATGCCAGCAAAGATTTGTACTGCCCTTCTCTCCTTCAGTCCCCCATGAATCCACTGACTTGTCTGCTTTTGCAGTTAGGATACTTTGGCCAGACAGAACACATTTTATATGAGATGCAAACCCTTCACAGCTCCTTGCAAGGCTGGAGTATCTGGTGGCTATGAAAGCAGTGACAGTTTTACTGACACTACTGTTGGTGCTGGTCCTGAGCACTTTTCACCCCTTTTTTCATGCAGTTGCTTCTAGATGTGGTTTTGAGTCCAGCTCCTGCCATCCACATTCCTCCCTTGCTTCTAAAGAGCTTTGCAGGAACAATCCCCTGCTGCCAGTTTTCTCACACAAGTCCATCGTGCTGGCTGCCCTCCCATAACCTGTGCTTGCACAAGGTCTGCAAAGCCTCCCTGTGACTCTGATGAGGTTTCTCATTGCTGCACATCCAATCTACCTCAGCAAAGGCAAGCATGGCAAGAACGATGACAAATATAGTGTGTCAGAGGCAGACACAATAAGGCATCCAAGGTTCAAGGCTAGTGTCTTGCTCACAGAAACCGGATCCAGAAAGTGATCCTCAGCACCCAGCTTTCAACACTGACCCAGGAGAAGGCAGTTGCCAGAATGCTGGATGAAAACTAGAGGGTCGGTGCTTTCAGGCTGCAGTTTCATAAGGTCCTGATTTTGGCAGAAAGGCAGCTTGTATTTCCAACTGCTTATTCTCCCTTGACCTTTCCTTTCCCCATTCCTTTGCACCAGTGTGAGTTTGTGGGGCTGTGCTGTAAACTAGATCACTAGAATGATCTGGGCTAAAAATACTTCCCTTAACTCTTTGCAAGGTTATTTTTAACCCTGATCACTTCAGCAGTCGAGTTCACAGCACAGCCTGACAAGCAGTTGCACTGCTGTGGGGACAGAGGGGTGACAGGAGCAGACTGCAGCACAGGGGGCAGAACTTCCCCTTACCTTCTCCAGCTCGGAGTCTGAGGAGATTGCACCCTTACGTGTCCTTCTGTTCAGAGGGCTAAGATGACAGAAAAAACACATTTTTGCATGCCTGCTGGTAAAAGTTTTTATGGTCCATGACACCAATATTTCACTCTGTGATCTGAGTTTGAGCTATGAACCCTGGGGCACCTGTGAGCCACCATGAGGAGCACGGTACCGGCAGCGATCACTGGAGTGATTTGGAAGAAGTTTCTGTTAAGCATCCACAAAAGCCCCACAAATACTGTGGTGCAGATCTCCAGAAAGCCCACTTCAAACAGCAGCAGCTGCACAGGTGGCTGGGGAGCTGGTTTTCCTCACTGCAAGGCAGAGGCAAAGCTCTACACCTGCAGGACCTGCTCAGTTAAGGAAGGGATGTGGGGGGGAAACTACTTAAGTCAAAGTAAAACATCATCACACTGTACCCAGAGTTCAGCAAGAAACACTGGGAAGCAGTGCTGTGGTTTCCTTTGAAGTTAAAGCACCAACCCTCACCAGGGTACTGAGTTGGAGGAGAGAAGGGAGCCTCTTGCAAGTTCCCTCTTCCCTGCCTGGCTCAGCCCTCCGAAGGCAAAGGACACGCTTCCTGCACGGAGCCTTCCCAGACACAGCACCTGCCCTTCTCGTTTTTCAGTAAGGTGGTTGCAGGGTTTGAGCAGCCAGTGGGTCCTAGGCCTTGTTTACATGAGAAAGCTTATACCATGCACACCGGGGTAGCTCTCT